AGCCCCGGCCGCCCCTCACCGAGGCCGCCCTGCAGCCCCTGCCAGCGCCTGGGCACGGACACCCCCCACACTGGTGTCTCTCGGTATCTGTATCGGTTTTTCCGCAGCCAGACTCTAACTGTGACCGGAGGGGGAAGCTGAGAGGACCTGAAGCGCCATCAGGGGTGTGTAGAGGGAGACCAGGGCAGGTGCTGCAAGAACAGGGGAAATCAGGGGGCAACAAGGAGAAACACTCGTAGGAGTGATTCATTCTTTTGATTTTCTTTGTGGGTGTTCTTAAAGAGTATGGCTGTTCCACCCAACCACCTCCAGATGAATTTTTCTTTCTCATGCTTTCCCTTCCAATCATCTCTTCCGTCTGCCCTCCAAAGACAGCAGTTGCATAGAGCAAGGACCTCAGAACTCACCATCTGTGCTTGCTCCTTCTCCTCAGGTGTGTTCTGCAGCCTGGTTACAGGGAGAAAGCACCTGCCAGGGCCAGCATGAGCTTCCCAAACAGTCCAGTCCAGCTCAGGCTGCATAGCCACTGCTTGGGCTACCAGTCCAAGACAGAAAGGACCCATTCCCCTCCCTGTGAATGAGGCTGGGCTGCAGGACAAGGAAGCATGGCAGTCTGCTGGTGTGGGCTACCTGTGACCAGGGACACCTCTGCCAGTTGTGACCATAGCCCAGGGATGTGGATAATGTGGTCGAGCACTGCACTGGCTTTTTCCCACAAAGGCAGAATTTCCTACCCCCTCTTCAGCTGACCTGCCCAGGACTGGCCATGATCTATCATGTCCCAGTAAGAATATTTTGTCTTCAGTCCCAGAATACCAGTACTCCCAGTTGTGTCAGCACAGGCAGACGTGTAGTGGGTCATGGTGTATGGTTTTGTTCTGGACACACTGGCTGATCACACTGAGACGCTTTCCTCCCCAGCCTCAGGAGGTACTAGTCCGTACAGCAGTGACTGCAGAATGTTGGGGATTTATTTTTTTTTTATTTCCTTCCCTTTTTTGGGTGTCTAAAAGCAGAGTTTCTGCGTTACCTACCAAATGTCAGTGGTAACAATCTGTTGGCAAGCTGAACCAAAGCACCAAAACCCCAGGAATGATCAGCCCCTGTAGGTCACGAACGGTGGGAGATCCTTACTTGGGGCTGGCGGCTGTTTTGGCACCTTTCACCAAGTCACCAATACTGTTCTCCATCACCTACGCCTGGCACCAGGACTGGCTTTAAAAAACAAAACCCAAAACCGTTTCAGAGGATTCTACATAATGGGACAACTGGGTCAGCTGCAAAGACAGAGCTGGTGGTGGAAAATGCCAGGTTTAAAGCTAAGCAGAACTGTAATCTTTATAAACATGCATGCCCTAAAACTTACCAGCCCTGATGTCTTTACCTCCCAATACACGTGCCCAGCACAAGGACCCCTTTGCCAGGTCTGTTTGAGGTCACTGCGTTCCTTGGTTGTCACCCATGAATGCAATTGGGGGCCAGGTGTTGTTTGGCCTTGGCCGTAGTACCAGCGAGTTAAACACTGGAGACCCCAGCTCTGGGATCAGGCTGCTCCTCTGTGACTCTTCGGCACAACCGGTGTGGTGGCCAGTGGTTTATAGGCCAATCCCCTCCCCCGTGATTTGATTTGATTTAATTTGTTGCTGCAGAATTACCATGTGATTTTGTGCTAGAGCACAAGTAGCTTTTTTTTTTTTTCCTCTTCCCAAAAGCTGGCGAGTACCAGACCCACCAAGTGCTGAGCAACACCACAGGATTCACACATCCTCCTGCAGGCAACCCCCTCCCCCCAACAAACACCAGTCAGCCCTCCAGTTCCCACAGCTCTCCACACGCTTTTAGTAGTAACATTTAAAAGAAGCAAAACAACCCTTTCAACTATAGTACAGCTCTGTATTTTCACTTGGGCACGTCTCTAGGCATAAAGCATCACTTAGCGCTCACTGCAACGTTCCCAGTACGACTTTGATTTATGGTAACTCTAGGAAAATTTTTTATAGTGCAACATACTTTGATTTTTATAACAGTAAGAGCATTTCTGGTGTGGCTCAGTAGCTTGACTCCTCTGCCAGTCTCTGAGCATACCTGCCTAACCCCCGTTTTTGCTTTCTTAGGGCAAGTCTGCACCAGATGATGGAGTTGCTAGGGCTTGCTGCCTTGTGTTTCAAGAGCAGTTTAGTGTGTGTGTGCCTGCAACCCCAGAGAAGCTGTTCGTGTCATCCTGACAGGGAGAGCGGTTTCCCAGTAACTCTTCGCCTTGCCCTCGAAGTTAGGGTGTTGCTTGAGGCATCTCCTTTCCTGGCTGATTTAGGGCAGGTCGCTGCGTCATTTTTTGCAGTGGGTTTTGGTCCTTTGTAACATTCCCATGCTGACCTGGCCAGGGAGAATCTTGGCCACTTCTCTCTCACTGACTGACCATGAGTTAGTTGTGTATGAGCAGAGACTGCTGGTTAACACAGCTAAGGCTCCCGAAGCTAACTGGATCTAGTTAGTATTGCTGACAGAGAGTATTCAGAGCGTCACTTAGCCTTTTGTCCCCCCTTCTTTCCTGCACAGATGAACAGCGAGCGTGCTGGGCTTGTCAGCTGCTCACATCTGCGACCCAAGCTGGAAAGAACTAGAGAAAGCCTCCGCATCCATTGTCACTTTTCGTACAAAACTTTTATTTTAAAAAGTTGCATATGAAGTTCTACGCAAGACAGTTACCATTTCTAGAGTGAAAACCAAACAAAAAATCCAGCTCTCCCACTCAGATGGTAAAAGGGTTGCTCAACAATCCACATCTAACAGACTTCAATGTGTGTTTTGGTGGAACACCACGGACAAACTGCAGAAGTAGAGTTCATCAGAGTAAAAGCTTCTAGATGTACAGCTTGACATCACGATCTAACACCACCACAGCTGCAGAACCACACTAGCTCTTGGACTGGATCTCCTCCACCACCCTGTTTCAAGGCTATTTAGGCTGCATTACAGAAGTAGCTGTTTTTACAAAAGACTTTTTTAATGGGCTTGGTCCACTGCTAATGCCCTGCACTCTTCCAGAAAACCGAGGGAGGGTTTGATCGGTTATTGTCTCCCCAAGGAGAAGGCGGAGGATAGTAAACACTGTGTAAAACACCTCCCCTCCCCTCATCTTCCGCTCTGAGGAGAAACACAAGCTGGGGAAGGACTCCCTTCTAGTCAGAGGGCAAAAGAGCTTTTGGACTGAAAGCTGCCCATAAGAATTCTAAATTTGGATAATGATTGTCTGAAAAAGTCATTTTAAATGATCTGAGCAAGTTCTGCTCTCAGATGTACATTAGCTCTTCCTACCCCACCATGTTTCTGAGGGAAGAATTCCATTCTTCAGCAAGTATAAAGTTCCATTTCTAAACTTCTTAAAGAAAGCAAAAGCGGATGGCTCAGTATATAAATACATCCAGCATCTGGATTCTCAGTCACAAAAATAACATCCTTTATACAACAGAAAATGGATCAACTGTGAAGCAATTCTCCGTTGGTCTTAAGATCCATCTTCATCAACAGCTTCGTCTTCCTCCTCTTCCTCCTCATCCTCTTCGTCATCTTCCCCCACTTCTCCATCTCGCTTCTCTTTTTCAAGCATTTTTAGGTACTTGCTAGCTAGGATCTTCTTTGGCAAGATATCTGGAAGGCAGAATTGTTTCTTTTATAGCCAGTTTCAACATTGCCTCATTAATACTGTTGCATCTGTACCAGTAATGAAATCGAAAAGAGGCTTTGTTAAAAACATTATTCTTTAAATGAATAACCAGGTGAGTTAGTCTGACCTGTACAGCTGTAAGAATGAGGAACTACCCCCTTATGGTACAAGTAACCAAAGATAAGGAATATATTTTACAACTGATTACTGGCAACTGTCTTTACTACCTGCTCATGCAGTACTTACTGGATGGAAAACAGAGTGCTCAGTTACTCAACGGCCTTAGACCGATACAACAGGCTAGCTATCCCATTTATGTCCTTTAGAAACGTTTTTTCTGCATTAAGGTAAGGTAATGATGGACCTGAGACAAAGTGCTCTGAACTATGTGCTCTGAAAATATGTCCACGGGGAACCCAGAGAAAGGCTGGGCTAGGAATACCTTATTCTTGACCTGTATCCTGTGCCCATACCACCTTCTCTGAGCTAAGTGTTCAAAAAAAATCCAAGCATCAGTAAAAAGTGCGTGTGCATGTACATGTGTGTGTACATACGTATATAAAAGAAGAGAGGAACCATATGATGAATCACTTTGAGAACCAAGACTTACAGATTTAAACGTGCAATTTTGAGGCCACCCAAGTTCTCACGTAAAGATGTGCAGTGACCTTGTTTTACAGGCAGAAAGCTTTCGGATGGAGCTGCTGGAATTTAAGAAATGCTTAAGGCAATATGCTGAGAAGTAATTAGCCTTGTATAATTTTGAAGCACCAAAAAAACCCTCATTCACAAAGGGTTCCAGCTGAATGTTATACAGGAGATTAATGACCAGTAGGAGAATTGTGTCCTCACAAAACAATTCAGTAAGAGCAAGATTTCATCTTCCAAATGACACACTGGATTTACCATCATGCAATAGATACCTGCAAGGAACTGAAAGGTCTCGCACTCTTCTGCAGTATGAGACAGGTCACTGTAAGTTAGAGCATTCTTCTCCTTGCCTCTGCCATGTTTGTAGGAGTACGTAGCCAAATACTGAACAAAAAGCTCCTAAAAAATTAAAAGCAAATAGTCAAACTATGAATTCACATACATAGCTGGAAGCAGTTTTCTTTAATCCCTATTTAAAGGCACAAGGACCATATTTAACTGTACAGATACTGGGCACTCTGTGCAGACACTGATTTCAGAAAAGCTTAAGGTCGGGATATGGTGGCATCTCCTTGGAGCGCTGTCTGCAGGCTCGGCTTCTGGCACCTAACTTGTTTGGTGCCACTCTTCAACACTTTCCACAGCAAATGACACTTGGGCTCAGAAAGCAGCAGGGCGTCATTTCCACACGGGCTAATTGATACTAATGGATAGTGGTGGAACTAAGAACCCCCCCGCATCGCTCACAGACGCGGGGAGCTCGGCTGGACGGGACGTCGCCCAAACCCCCTTTCGCAGAGCGGGAGCCCGAAGCGCGAAGCTTCGTGGCCGCCGAGGGACAGCCCC